TACAAGTATCGAATTCATTGTACTGGCCGGGGTACAGAATCGGCGCGTTCCCGTCGGCCATGGAACCCATAACGCCCGCGATAAGAGCACTCCGTGAACACACGCGTGTTACCTGCCCGTGTAGAACTTGTTTAACAATACTTTAATTCCACGTTGCCGGCGCAGTGCCATTGTTGGCTCGCATTTATCGGCTCGAACGCCGGCCGTACACAATTGCAATCGGCAGGGAAGAAACCCGGTTCGCGAAACGACGAGAGGGAAAAATTAAAGTGGCACATTAAAACTCACCGGAGTAATTTGCTCTAGGGAAGGAGAGAGTGAGAGAGAGAGAGAAATACTCTCCTTTCTCCACCATTTGATAAACGACAAAAGTCGAGCATTAGCAGCTGAGTGACACGACGGCATTATTTAAAACGCAGACCAATTTCCGCCTGTTCGTCGATTTCAATTCCAGATAAATTAGTAAATGCGGATTAATTTTGCTTCGCCTATTTATGATGTATTAAAGATATTTAAGCAATTTGTTTACTTTGTAAATGAAATATACACATTTGATGTAATAATTGAATAAAACAGCTGAATGCATAACTAAATATTTATCATTGATACAGATTATCAAATCCTTCAGTTTTGCTATTTCATAGCGTAATTCAAAAAACTTTTGAGTAACTTAGAGAGGTAAATTAAAACTCTTTAGAAGTTTTATAGTACACGTGGTATCGCGCATCTAGGGACCTAAATGGTAATCTAAATATTTATACCTGCAGGTCTCATAAACGTACGGCATTCGACGAAAATTGATAGCATATGTTGGAAGTTGCTCTTTATGATTACGCGTTTACGCTATCACTTCAAAAAAGTTCCGGGCCACTTCATAGATCAGAAAGACCCCGCTTTTACTCAACTGTTCTCGGTTATCTAACATTAACAAATATATAAAAACGATCTCAGGTTGAGCCCTTAAACCCAAATGATAAACCATTGTTAATAGTTATTATATTAATAAAACAGTGTGAAAGATTTTTGAAATTTTGCCAAGCTATTAAAAATGTTGGCAACTCGAATTCTTCTGTTGAATAGCAAAATTTTTATTCCATTTATAAAAAAAAATGCAACAATAAAATGATTTTGTATAATCTAATATTCTTAAATATAGTTTTTAATCACATTTCATAAACTTTTGAAATCTTAGACTCTGTACAACCATAAAAAAGTGGTTGAAGTAAAAGATAAGAAATATAGAACGAAGTCGATAAACCCAGTAGTCTATAATAATTAGTATAAGTAATTGTTATATAATTAAAGAAGGAGAAATCAATAAAACTCAATAAGTGATATTTAAATTAAATGAAACATCGTGTTACGTCATTGAATGTGTAACAAAATATGCAGGAAGTAACAAAAGCACGGCGCGTAATTACTGTTTCGTACGCGTCACGCCCGATATTTAAACAGCGATTCCATTCAAGCGAATACATATTCGTAGCGCGTAAACTTGTCGACAAGGACAGTCTTCTTAGCTTAAGTGGTGCACTTGGTTCACGATGTAGATTACCAGTTACAACGCGTAACGTGGTATGCACTCCGTCGTGTCGCTTAATGCATCCTTTAGCGTTGATCGAATATGCGAGTGCAACGCGTTCCGCTATCCATCGCTTTCCGTATAGGTAGGACACGTTGCTCGAGCAAGCCGCAGATAAATATGATTTAATCGCCATAACAACTGGTTATTTCGTTGCTATTTTCGCAACTTGAATAAGAAATCGAATAGAACTTTATAATTTTTAAATTAATTATAATTAATAATTTGCAAAGTGCTGACAGTTAACATACGTGTTTATATGCAGTATAACATTTTATGATCAGAGGTGATATAGAAATGTTGCAATGTAACACGTAGACATAGAGACTTATTCTTTTGGTACAAAGGTACGAGATGTGGAACGTAAAATCAATACAGAAAGAAAATAGAAAATAATTGCTAAAACGAACTCTTCCGCTTGAGGTCTTATTGACACAAGTCTAACAGGAAGCCAGTCATCTAACATTACCTTTCAAGTACTGAAACTTCGCTTTCCACGCTACAAAGTTGAAAACTATTTCCTTTGTCGAGAAAAGAACGATGTAAAAATGAAGGTACAAAGCAATAAAGGTTTCCAATGGTTTTAAATTAATTATAATTAATAATTTGCAAAGTGCTGACAGTTAACATACGTGTTTATATGCAGTATAACATTTTATGATCAGAGGTGATATAGAAATGTTGCAATGTAACACGTAGACATAGAGACTTATTCTTTTGGTACAAAGGTACGAGATGTGGAACGTAAAATCAATACAGAAAGAAAATAGAAAATAATTGCTAAAACGAACTCTTCCGCTTGAGGTCTTATTGACACAAGTCTAACAGGAAGCCAGTCATCTAACATTACCTTTCAAGTACTGAAACTTCGCTTTCCACGCTACAAAGTTGAAAACTATTTCCTTTGTCGAGAAAAGAACGATGTAAAAATGAAGGTACAAAGCAATAAAGGTTTCCAATGGTTTAAAAATCAATATAATTCGTTTGTGTTACATGCATCGTTTGTTACAATAATTCTTCTGGTCTTGACAACTCGAGAAGAATTCATTTTTTACTTGCTTTTGTACAATCTGTCTCTCCCCCTTTTTGAGGGTCCCAGACAGGACGTGATTCGTGATAGATCCTTACGCGTAATCGCGAAATTATGTCATACGCGAACGCAATTCTCGCTCAAGCTGGTGCGTTACGTCATGCCCGATGGCTGAAAGCAGGCGGACGTACTTGCGTCGCGAGTATTACATACATATTTGGAAGATTGTTCCATGCCGAGATCATCATGTGAAAAGGAACGTTGCAAAGTATAGGACTTAAGATTGTACGAGCCATAACATCTCTGCCGAAAGTTTAAGAAATGTGATAAAATGCTATGCCCAATATTTGAAATTTCTATCAACTCGTTCGACTCTTTAATTTTTTAATTTGTTTAAAAGCTCGTACATCCTTGAGATGTGAATCGTTTCATAAATCGCCGCCTACTCTTTGAATCTTCGGTTTTTTATTAAATGAGAGACGCGTCAGATGTCCTGTACGAAGAAAAAAATTAATTGAAACGCTAATGACATTCTCATGGCTCGCATAGTTCTCATCAATGTTTAAAATATGACGATTGCTTTTACGTAACACTTGTTTTTACAGTTTTGTTGAAATTATTAACATGTAACAGATTCTCAAAGACAATATAAAAATTAGTCGATTGATGAACGATTTTTACAAAACTTTAAAGCTGACCAGGATACCTTGACACGCGATTGGAAACAAGGTGACTTGTCACAACCAATCACGTGGGTGGTACTAGACTGATGCATTAATGCAAGAGTGACCTTGATTCCAAATGCGAGTCTTCGCAATCGTGGGTGGATGCTGAAGCACGGATTCTTCGGCCTTTTTTCTTCCGTTACATAAATCCCTATTATTAAAATGATCAGCCGGACTGTCTCGAATTACAAGCTTCTATTTAAAAAGTTTCAGCAGACCGTCTTACAGATAAACATTTAAGATCTGGAATCGTGGATATTTTTGCAGGCTGAATGGTTCCTCGAAACGTCAAAACGGTACTATAAACGACGATAAAGAAAAACGTTTGATGTGTTACGCCATAAATTAACGGTTTGTCCGTGTTGCGGATATATCCTCGCAGATTTATCATTAAATCTGAGAAATTCATAT